AACTCATGGAAACGTCTTAAATTCTTCAAATTTTGAGTACCCCAGTGCGAAAGTCGCCCCGACGGGTTGTCGGTCGTACTCGTACCCCAACCACATTTCACACCACTATGAACAATAAATGCACACACTAAAATCGCTATTACCGATAGGCTCATCCAATCAAGTTTCGATAAACCCGTTCATCATCATCTCCTGCGGTTTCGAACACGCCTGTTAGGTGGCTTCTGCTCATACTTTGTGGTGCGGTGGTACTGGTAGTGCGTCGGGCCGCGCGCTCTGACTTCGGCCAAGAAAAATGCGTCAGCTGATCATTGTCATTTCTGCCACTTTCATGTGGTGAGATGGGGTCCTAACTTTAGAGACGGCTGTTTCATATCAATTATTTTACATAAAATCATATTTCAAACCATAAATTCATGTTCGACAGCCAAATTAAAGAAACAATATCAATACATGCTTACAGTTTAAATTCGACATTGTGTTGTCTACGGTCGATTAGACAGCTGATAACTCATTCCCGTACGTCGTAACTATAATGACCTTTGCTTATTGTCACATGTGCCGCTGTGCGCCGCATTCGCGATTGTTGCCGACGCCTGTTTGCAGGTCAGCCCACTACAGTTGTCATACATATCGAAAAACCAATAAACTTTTAGGCGAAAAAAGCACTATTCCAGGCCCATTTTTGATTTTTTTGCGATATTAGGTAAAAACAGAAGCTTCTTATCTTAGGAAAAATAAAATGAGAAATCATTGGAAGGTGGCACACTCCCTTTAATGGAGTCTATCGTTGGGTTATCTGATAGCTTTGTAACCGGGGTTGTGCTCGACTAAAAAAAAAATTGCCGACTCGACTCATCATTCAACTTCAGAAAGCCCTGACTCAACTCTGACCAGTATCCCAATATTTGCCAGTTTGGGTGAGAAGTAACATCCATATCAAAATAATTTTCCACTCTCACCTCTAATTTTCAGGAGCGATTTTTCACTCCCTCGTTTACCAATTAGGAACATCTGCTTGCACCTTTTACCTCCTTCCATATTTGATTGAATGATCTTTTAAGGCAGCTTCCACATCTTCCAACATTCATGCAAATGAATTGTTGATTTGTTTTCTGCTCTTTGTACTCTTCTAACTGGCAATTTTCCACTCTCAGCCCCCTTTATAGTGACGAATACTCCCCTCCGACACCCAAGCCAAAATATAATTTTGGGACACTGACTCTGACTCAAACAAGGAGCTGATTTTTTCCCTTGACTTGACTCATGACTCAAACGGCTCAATGAATATATGAGTCGACTCAAACTTGACTCAAATTTTTTTGTTGAGTCAAATGAGTTGACTCAAAATTGACTCAGACAAAAAAGTTGTTGAGCGGGGGGGGGGGGGTGAAAAAAACCGGCAGCAGGGCCAGGGTTAAGTTGTTAAGCGGGGGGGGGGATGAAAAGCTTTTATATATATATATATATATATATATATATATATATATATATATATATATATATATATATATATATATATATTGCTTCTGTAAAGTTGAGTCAGCTGACTCATGTTCCTAAATGTTTGACTCAACTCAATGTCAAAAGTCATTTTACTGACTGAACTCTGACTCAACTCAACGCCTTAATATTTTTGTCCGACTCAACTCTGACTCAACTCAATAGCTCAACATTTTATCCGACTCGACTCAAATCTGACTCATTTGAGTCAGAGTTGAGTCAAATTTCTGACTCGACTCATGAGTCAAGCACAACCCTGTTTGTAACCGTATCAAAAAGGAATATTTTTGCAGCTCAAAGGTACAAAAAAGACTTCGGGTCCATGGCACAAAATAATCTGATTTTTAAAACTGGTTTTCTCAATCATATCATTGATATAGTTATCATGTTACACAACAAACATGGGATTACGTGGGAGCTAAAACTATAGATACCTACTTTTCATAAGGTGAATTGTTTCTTAGAAAAAAAGCATAAAAGTATTTGTTTAATCGGTTCAGATGTGCCATGGAAACGTTGTGCTTGCGCCAAATCACCTCTGCTTTTCTGATTTCATCGACGTGGTTCCACGCAGTTGATCGTGGAAAATATTTCTTTTTGCTGAGATTGATGCTTCAAAAGCTCAAAATATCATATTCAACCGAAACTCTTTCGGCTTGATGCTGTCTTGCCGTACGCGTACCGATACGGCTAAGGTGCCTTCTTACCGTGTACCTACCTATCGTCTACGTATACCGAATAATGGTCATTATTTCCATTAGCCATGAATGCCGCGTATAGTGAACTGAAAGAGTGTCTTGCAAAAGAATGTCGGAAACAGGAACCGGCGTGAACTCAGCCAATTGTAAGGCGAGTCCACAAACTCTACAAAAAAAAAGCTGCGCGGCGCACCACTAGCCTCGGCGATCGAGCCAGTTGCAGTGTGGCACTACTAGTGACATCTATCGACAAAGTCGGGAACTTGGCAGCCCCACCGCCGCGCGCGACGAGCGTCGGCCGAAATTCTGAGCTCAGAGCTCACTGCTGTTGATTGTTCAGAGCTGACAGAGCTCACTGGTTATTCAGCACTCAGAGCCCACTGTTCCGTGGCCCGCGGGGCGCGGTAACTGCTCACTGTTGTCCAGGACCGTCACCGCTCCAAGCCAAGGGTGACGGTCAAACCATTGCGGTTTCACGGATGGATGATCGGGACCCCATAAATCAGTTTTCTTGGCTATTTTCAGTTTTTTTTTTGCTCACGGCATTAAAAAAAAACTGGCTGCATATTAACAAGCCGACTGTTTTGTCTTATACATTAACTGGGAATTGGGATGGCCTTTTATGTGGTAAGCCGTTTAGCCGGGCAAATCAGACCGAATATGACGTTTATTTTGGCTTTATATTGAGTCGCCTAGATGTTTGCATATACGTTGTCGTTTTCAAAGGACGCTTTCGCAAAGTAGCGGCAAAACGCTCAACGCCTGTCCTCCAGGGGGACAGGTTATGACTACCGCAATAGCCGTTCGTGCCCAACTACGATGCCTTACTGCACTTGTAACTGCCAACACTGCGATCAGCTTAAGAGCTCTTGCAGCAGTTATAAAATAAACCATATACCACCGCAATAATACGATACTGAAACGGAATTAGCTTTGGCATTGAACGCATGATTTCTCCGCAGGTCAACCGGTATTATAAAATGTGGAAAAATCACTGGTTGTGGAGCAATGCGAACGAAGACATACAACCTTGTGCTGCAGATATTTCCACACGAATTTAACAAACAATGTTTCTGCAAGGAAAAAGGCTGTCGATGTATAACAAACACGCAGTGCCGAGTGCATCCTCACAAAATATCCTAAAACCTTGCCATGCCTCATTCCCAATCACCACGGGACAAGAGCAACACGCACAAGTTACAAGAAGTAAGACAAATATGTAAGTAGAGACGCGGGACAAGAAAGTCAAAGAAAACACGAGTGGATGTGGACGCCATGGTTCCGGGGCGTTTGTCTGTTTACCGGGGACTCGGGGCGCGTTCCGGGACGTTAATTCGTGACTCTCACGGCTGCAATTATGAATGAAGCTTATGGGAAAGCGAGAAGAACGAGTTCTAACGCTTTCATGCAAGTCGCGTCTCAGTTATTCCCAGCGGACACCGCAAGGAAAGATCCATCCCGCCAGTCCCAAGGTGCGCCAGCTTTCTCACAAATTACCACTTAAGACGAGAGGGATGGAAAAAACACTGGGTAACTTTTCTCGACAGTTGCGGAGCGCTTGCGATTGTTTTATTTACCCCACGGATATAACGAAAGAGATCAACACCTACAGAGATGGATAAACAATGCAATGCAAACGAACTGCCACTTGAAATTTTCAGTGAACGCTCAGAAAGGACAGAGCAGCAGCTATACGAAAAATCAGGCTTCTAGCTTTAAAAATGTTCAGTGCAGAACAGAAAAAAACTACCTGGGGGGTTGCAACCCCCCCATGTGCTGGCGAGGGTTAATGAAACAATCAGCATAACAAATTAATGTCCCATGGCCTGCATTAATATTTTACGACTCAAGGCCCGATTGCAGTTACTCCGAGGAAATTTCCTGAAGACCCAGGAAGTTCAAAATATAAAACTGTTCTGAGTGTTCCAGTTTTATATTTTGGAATGGAAAAAAACTCAAATTTGACTCAGATGTCTCAGAGGGATGGGATCGAACGGATAATGTCTGTTTACCCAGCGTAGGGGACGGGTACCGACTACCGAACCCTCTGTGCATCGTGAGCATTGTGAAATGTTTAGGAGCAAAAAGCAATTTTCATTACCCTTTCTTTGCACTGCTTCTTCACCTCAGCAGGGCTAGTTCATGTAGCCATATCAATGCAGATGATGATGACTCGGTCAGAATCACCGGCCACCGCCCACCCATAGGGACGAACGATACGACGGTCGGCAGAGATGGCGGACGTGTCGGGTGTAGGTGTGTGACGTCACATTTCCCGGGCCCGAGTGACGGTGTGACGTCACCGTCCGGGGGCCGTCCCGGTCCCTCCCCGCGGCCGGCAGCAGCCTGTGAGGGCGCGCGCCGACCCGCCCTCCCCGGCGGCTCCACCCAACCGGCGCCGATGGGCCGTCCGATGGCCGTCGAGGGTGTAGCTAACGGCGCGCATTCAGTAGCTGCCCATACCGCGCGGTGGCCTGGGTCGGCGGCCGGCCGGCAGGGGGCGGGCCGCCGCGCCGGCCGGCCGCCGCCGGGGCGGTGCGAAGGCGGCTCGGGCGGGGTCGGGGCGGGACGCCGGACCGCCGCAGACATGGCCGCCGCCCAGTCACCCACGCCGGTCGGTGGCCATCAGTGGAGTGGAGCCGGCCGGCTCTCGGAGAATTACAGAGAAACTCACCGGTCCGTCTGCCTGTCCGCCGGCCCGGCGCCGCCCCAAAGCGCCGGCGGCAAATTAAAGTGAGGTGACGATTCCGCGCTCTGAAAACCTTTCAAATGGGGAGGGCGGCACTCCTCGGTACTCACTGAAGTCGATCAGGAGGCGGCCGTAGCCCTGGCGCTGGTACGGCGGCAGCGTCATGATGCACGACACGTTGTAGTTGAGGAACGAGTTCTTCTCCTGCCAAAAGACGGGGCACGGGACGGTGAACACTAACAGGCGACCAGACCGGTGACTGCAATATTTACACCAGTAGTGGGCTGCGAAAATCAAAATAAGTATGACAATTCGAAATCTGAAAACGTATCCAACTTCCCCCCCCCCCCACACACACACAAGTGACACACAAACATACACACAAGTAGCACCAATTCTATCACGACTGACTGATAGATATCGATAGCCAGAAGTGAGCGGGTTAGTCCCCGACTTCCCCGCTGTTATCAAACAAAACGGGGCCTCCCCACACAACGTGTCAACGGTCGCCAGACAATTGACTTCAGCCGGTCGGCTCTGCTTAGATCATCTACTCAACGAACATACCTAAAAGCGGACTTTTCGACCCTTGCCTTTAGTCTCTAGACGCGATCCTGAACGCCTTAAAGGTAGTGTGCCACCTTCCAATGATTTCCCATTTTATTTTTCCTAGGGTAAGAAGCTTCTGTTTTTACCTAATATCGCAAAAAAATCAAAAATGGGCCTAAAATAGTGCTTTTTTCGCCTAAAAGTTTATCGGTTTTTCGATATGTATAACAACTGTAGTGCGCTGACCTGCAAACAGGCGTCGGCAACAATCGCGAATGCGGCGCACATGTGACAATAAGCAAAGGTCATTATAGAGTTACGACGTACGGGAATGAGTTATCAGCTGTCTAATCGTAGACAACACATTGTCGAATTTAAACTGTAAGCCTGTATTGGTATTGTTTCTTTAATTTGGCTGTCGAACATTAATTTATGGTTTGAAATATTATTTTATGTAAAATAATTGATATGAAACAGCCGTCTCTAAAGTTATGACCCCATCTCACCACATGAAAGTGGCAGAAATGACAATGATCAGCTGACGCATTTTTCTTGGCCGAAGTCAGAGCGCGCGGGCCCGACGCACCACGCGTATTTGGAAATTCCGACCTCGACGAGCATCAGAAGCCACCTAACAGGCGTGTTCGAAACCGCAGGAGATGATGATGAACGGGTTTATCGAAACTTGATTGGATGAGCCTATCGGTAATAGCGATTTCAGTGTGTGCATTTATTGTTCATAGTGGTGTGAAATGTGGTTGGGGTACGACCGACAACCCGTCGGGGCGAATTTCGCACTGGGGTACTCAAAATTTGAAGAATTTAAGACATTTTCATGAGTTTTGAAGTTATGGATAAGTTCTAAAAATCCGGTTCTCCTTATTTGGGCCATTAACTCCATACGGTCCAGGAAAGCTGGCACACTACCTTTAAAGTAGAGGACGTGTGACATCGACTGTTTCGATAAACGGAGAACATAACACAAGCAAATAAAGCCACCTGCTTCTGAGAAATGGCCTCTGAGCTGAGAGGCCCACTGATGGGCTTCGAGGAAAGGTCAAAGGCTAACCCGAGAGTGCAGAGCGAACCACAGGTACGGTGATCGTCAACCATATCAGTCACAAGAGGATATCCGATATCATCGAAACCATAAAGGCACCGAGTGTACATTTTGCGAACCGCGATGCACGTTAAATAACGCACATTGCAAAAGTAGTTAGCAATAAGTAGTTGGTACGCAGGGGCCCAATGAATAATTATTAATATATTCTACGAACGTGTACAAAACATCAGAAATCCATAACGCTCTACATGATGACAATCCTAATCCATCAAAGGGTGGAACACAATTCTGAAAACATGGTTGCCCAGTCTGAATGCCTCGCATACCTTGAACTCGGCCTAGACCATTAATGAACAGCATTCAAGTTGGTCCTGGTCAAAGGCATATGAATGTATATTCTTGGACGATACCGCGAAAACGAAATATTTCTATCGAGAGTTTTCAAAGGATTTCATGCACGAGGCCTTGGCCGAGTGCATGAAATTCTTTGAAAACTCGAGATAGAAATATTTCGTCGCGGTAGAGTCCTAGATATTATTTCCTGTATGTTTCTTTATATCGTTCGTTATTTGCTTAAAAAGGCCGAAATATGCATAAATAGAATACAGTAACATTAACTACACGTTAAATACTGAAATACTGGAGCTTCTAATTACTTAACAGTTCAGCAAAGCTTACAAATTTTCTTTAAAACAGAAGCCCTTGATGAAATCAAGCTATCCAAGAAAACCATCCAAGAAAACGTCTCGCGCAAAGTTTCTTGGATGGCTGGATTGCATTGCAAGACTGCATCAAACATACAGGAATACTTGAACAAAGCAGATTCCCAGATACCAGGGCTCAGTTGTCACATGAAAAGCAAGCCTTCATTAAAAGTCGCAGGGCTCCTAATGGAAATAAAGGATAATGATACGACATCGCGGAGCCGGAGCACGTTGTCCACCTCAGTCAAGAGCAGCTGTGGTGGACCGGACACTACAAGCGGCATCGAGCCGAACTGCGCCGCGCAGAGCCAGAGAAGCTGTGGTGGACCGGACACTACCAGCGGCATCGAGCCGAACTGCGCCGCGCAGAGCCGGAGCAGCTGTGGTGGACCGGACACTACAAGCGGCATCGAGCCGACCTGCGCCGCGCAGAGCCAGAGCAGCTGTGGTGGACCGGACACTACAAGCGGCATCGAGCCGAACTGCGCCGCGCAGAGCCGGCTGGACATTTCAAACACCTACTGGACCTGCTCCGAACATAATCGTATGAATGGAATGGGCCTTTTCAATCAAATGTTAAGCAGATGTCTTTGAAAAGACGTGCCACTTTCAACCGCCATATGTTTATATGCAACGAGTAATCACATCGGACATTCTGGTCACAATAACATGACATGACATGACATGACACGGCATGACAAATCGGCGTCATTACGTGTATGTTGGCGCGTATGACATGTGAAGTTGAGAACGTGCCTGAATCCTAATCAAATCAAATTATTAAAAAAGCACATTGGAAACAATTGACATTTTGCTTGTTTGATGCTCCTTTCCGAGCGTGCTCGGCGGATACCGGAGATCAATAGACAACCTCCTGTCAGCGATCATTGCTAAACGGTCAGCGGTCGGCCAGTCGACGGTCAGCGGTCGGTCGGTCTGTCCGTCATTCAGCGCTTGGTCATTGGTTGATGGTAGGTCGGTCGATCGGTCAGTGACCGGAGATCGGCTTATCGGTCGGTCTTGGTCAGTCATTGGTCGGGGTCGGTTAGTGGTAGGTCTTTGGTCGCTGGTCAGTGGCCGCTCATTGGTCTGTGGGTCGGTCGGTCCGTCCGTCGGTCAATGGTCGGGAGACGGACAGCTGGCGCGTCGGCCGGGACGGCGCAGCTGACCGCCCCACGGCGCCGCGCCGGGCCACGCGCCGCCCGGCCAGCACCATTATTCAATTTGGACCCGGGCACCGATGGTTTCCATGGCAACGCGTCCCGTCAGTCAGCTGATAGCGCTGGGAACGGCCGGCGGCGGCGGCGGGCGCTCAAACCGAGCCGTTGTCGGACAGCAGATGGGATGGTACTGGACACTGGAGCTCACTCGACTGCAGGCTCAGTGATCCGTCCAGCTTTCTCGCTGATGACGCCGAAGGCTGCTAGGATGAGCAATGAGCAGCATGAAACCAGACAACAAGGATGAGCAAACAAGGATGAGACAAAATTAAATTTCGATATTATTTAAGTGAAGATAATTTTATCCTGGTGTTTGGTACAAAAAGAAATATATGATCAATAACATAACGTTGAATTTTGATACATTTTGAGACCGCAAAAAATGGGATTAGCTTTCGCCATAAGGCATATTATCAGATTATTTTTCATCATCATCAATTATGCGATCTTTTAAACAAAATCTATTTAATGCTTCGTGTTTTTCTATCTATTATTTCCGATTTGAACAAAATAAAGCAATAAATGACAGAATGCATAGTGAAACAATTTTATTAAGAAGCAAGCCCACACCTTCACCTACATCAGAAGGAATTTCCCAATGTCATCTCCAGAAACGAATTAAATACATGCTGTTCAGGACAGGAACGTTCAGGGGTCGCCCGTTATGGACATTACACAAAACACATATCATCGAAATCACAGCCATGGCCATAGTCGTGCCCGGCCAACTTTATTTGTCATCCGACTCCCTGCATCGTTACAGAACTTCGGGGTCTCCGGAGCACCCTCACAGGGCGGCGTGGAGACTGGAGAGCCCTCACAGGGCGGCCGAGTTGTTGACTCCCGGCCGACCCCCGAGGCGGGGATGGCGCCGGCGTCTCCGTCGTCAACAACCGGGCCGGACGCCCCCCCCCCCCTCCCCCGATCTGCCCTCGCAGCATGCGTGCTGGGGCCGGCGCCCGCGGGCCGCGGTCCGACTAGCAGTGCCCCGGTCTGCGGCCCCTCGCCCCTCCCCTCCCCGCCGGCCGGAGCGCCGGTGAACGGTCACGTGACGGCGGTCGGGCCGGCGAGCAAACAGGGGCGCTCCCCGGGGGCGGCGGCCGGCCGCATAGCAACAAGTGAAAGGGTTGGCCGGCGGCGGCGGAGGGTCCGCCGGGTCCGTCTGCCCGGGCCCGGCGCCGCCGTCTGGGCCCGCGCCGGTCGGACGTCGGAAGGCTCTGGAACCAGGCTCGGCTCGCAGAAGGACGGGGCGTCGCCCTGTCAGGAATTTGACCAACGAGCTGAAGCCAGGCTCGGACAAACGGCTTGGAAATCACAGACCGAATAAAATTCGCGATTCTTAAATGGTGCAAGGATAATCAGTTTAAATCGCCTACCAAAACCGAGATCTGCTAACCTTCACCAGATATTCATGAATAAGTTTCAAGTTTGTATAAAATCGAGGTGCGGGGGAGCGAGTCAAAGTGTTGGATGCTGAGCTTTTGCCGAGCATTTTGAGCATTCTAGCATTTTAGGCATGTCAGTACCGACACTGAGTACTGGGTAGTAGCGGTGTTCGATTCGAATGGGCCAGATCGCACCAACACTAGCACGGGGTGGGCAATAGACCATTACAGTGTTCGTAAATCTCCGCAACATGGAGGTAAGTTATTCGAATGTTATACGTAT